TAGTCCGAATAAAATAGTGAATAAACTAGTGAATAAAATTGGATGTATTGAAAGAATTACAAATGTAATAATTTATGCGTGGTAAAATTTTTTGACGCGAACAATTTTTTAATATTGTTCTTTCAAGCTGTGAATGACAGTTTGGGACGATTGGAAATCATTAACATAAATAGTACAAGATCTTAGAGATAGATATTCATGCACAGTATTTCCTATCTGGATTTATTAATATATATATTTATATATGCTTTTTTTATAAATTACATACATGCAGTTACTTTATACTTTTACTTATAGAGCTTCCAATGAATTTTTTGTTTAGAGCCATTTTTTATTACTAGGGAGGGGATGATAGCATCTGGCTCAAGGACTGTCCCTTAACAGCTACACATGTAAAGCTAAGGGTACAGGCTAGATTCTTGGGGAATCTTATTAATACATTAATAATAATGATAATATAATTAATATAGCGCTTATACATTTCGGCACTAAGCGCTTTACAATAATGAAACGTACTAAAACAACATTGAAAATGATGTTTAAGAACAACATGATCCCAATGCTTTTATTTCACAAAAAGATTTCTCATTATCATCCAATAATGTTAACAGCACCACAATGGCTGCCATGTTTTTCTCTTTCGAATCTGTTGGGAATGCTTGCAACCCAAATTTGCTTGGATGACCACGAAACAATGGCTTCACGTCGAGGTTGGATGAATAAAAGAATATGGTATAGTCTGGTCTTCAAACCACGTAAAAGGTTGATTGAGCTGCATTCAATTAGAGGACAAAACGAAAGAATCTTAATCTCCTGGGAATTGAAACCTATTGTTTTGCCCTCCAAACAGACCTCTTCGGCTTGGGGTAATGTTTTTCCATTTCAGACCACGTGTCATTCCCTTGAGAATAAGATTCTTTGTTTGAGCTGTATCTATATTCATGTGTCTTCTCATGTGCAACCGAGCGCAAACCTTAAACAAAGAAATGATACTCTAGGGAATGACACGTGGTCTGAAATGGGAAAACATTACGTCAGAGCCAAAGAGGTCTATTGACCTGCATTCCAAAGTGCTGCAAGGGGTTTATTGCTAGGCTTCATTTCTTGTAGGTAATAAAAGATTTCAGGAGGTAGACCCAAAACATTTCAAAAGCGGGTTGCAAAGTTATTAGTCATAATCTGAAAGGAGATCAACAAATGGCAGCTGCTAATGTGCATAAAAATAAAAAATAAATGTTTTTGGAGTGAAAACCCTTTTAAATCATTGAACTCGTTGATTTAGACAAGGCGTGTGAGTTTCTAATTAAATTAATAAATCTGTTACAAGATGTGAGCATTTGAAGTTTTGAAAATGCACCAAGACGAGGCCACCAAGGCTTCCAGTGATAAATACATGCAAAACTCTCTAGTTTCGTTCTTTCATAACTTCTTTGGTATTCAGTCAAATTCTACAAAATTTTCTGGAAATAGTTTTCATGAAGTATTTTCTTAAATAGCATTGATAGTTTCTGGTAAAAAGGCTTCATTTTCTCTATCTGAAAAAACTGAATAAGCCTGAAGCGAGATGACGTTTTACCCCCGACTCTATGCCATAATAGTTTTTAAAATTCTTTCATATCAAAATTTTAGAGAATACAGGAACAAAAGTCATAATTAAAGAACAAAAGCAGTGTGAAAAGGATTATGGTCTAGAGACGGGGGTAAAACGTCATCTCACTTCAGGCTTATTATGAAAGTAGTCTATAAGATTTCCATTTCTAGCAAAACGATGGTATCAATAAATGAATTTCTTATTTTAGGGGGATAGGGAAGGGAGAAATTGAAAATCGCCTGGATTATTTTTTAGCATACATTTTTGTAGCTTTCTGGCTTAAATTTATCTGGACTGGTGTAGCCTTGTCAGGCTCAACACATACCATAGACAGGACAATTGACATTGGACTGGGATTTTCTTGAAATTTGTCTGTAACATTTGTGATTTTGTTTCGAAGATTTCTTGTTCTGCAAGAAGCATGCAAGAAAATCACTGAAAAAACAGAGAGAAAAATTAATATTTGCAAAATTTTGGCACTGACATAATAGTGAATGATATTGTTTTTCATTTTGCTAGAATATTGCTTTCCAGTTGAGGAGAGAACGTGGCATGCAAAGCATTCAAGAGGAAAAAATGACTGGCCCTAAGCATTTTTGGAGCTTGAAGAAGCAAACATGGTGGTAAAGTGAAATTGTTTTTATTCTTCCTTTCCATATTTTTGCTTCTTGTAGGCACATATATGATATTTTAGTCAAAAGAAAACAGAAAAATATGCAAAAGTTGGGTTACAGTGCTTTAGTAATGAGGGTCGGCAGCAAAACAGGTAATTATGCTGTGATTGGCTGAAGTAAACTTCACTGCTTACATGTAGCTGGTTGATGCTGCTCCATATTTTAAATCTGGGAAATGTATGGGATTTAAACAATCACCAACTAGTAGTGCTTACCAGAGATAGGTGCAACCACACCCCAGAGAAAGACAAGCACAGACCCAAGCACATAGATTAGCAAGAGAACGACACCAGCAACACCAGCACTGACAAGGTACTTATAAGCAGTATTGTCACGTCTGGTGATCTCTTTTTCTTTACATATCCTGGCATATACCACGAGGGCTACTGCTACAGATAGTGCCCCTATTATCATATCCTTAGGATATAGTGTTCTAAAATGAAAAATAAATCAAGTGATTATTTTTTTAATCAATATCTTTGTAAGGCATAATTAAACACTAAGGGACCTGTCATTATCAGTTCCCTGTGGGGGTGGTGGAGGGAGGATTTTTGTGTCGATACCATAAACGATAATTTATCCCCCCAGAGGTTGCTCTCCAATCTTTGTGTGATCCCCATTTTCACACCTGTAAATATATGGCTGACCCAGTTGTCTAAAAAATTGAATGTGAAGCCCCTTAAATCCTCCAGCCCCCAACCCCCCCNCCCCACCCCCCCACAGGTGATAAATGTTGAGATATAACGGTCCCTAACGTGTTATGTTGGCAAATAATTCATATATATGGAATGTTTGAAAAAAATTAATACATTTTACTAGTTTTGGATTTCCTCATAATTTTTAGCAAAAATTGAATCCTTTAATTGTACAAGTTTGAATAAAGTTTTGTTTCCAAAGAAAAAACTTAAAGAAAATAAAACACAATCTGTTCTTTTACGTTTACTTACCCTACAATAAGGAAAATAACGATGCACCACAAGAAATAGTTCGTCTGATAGTACAAAAGATTATTGACTATTCTGTTAGACATTCTTTCTAAGTCGCTCAAAGTCGGAATAGTAAACTGAGCGTCCGTTAAGACGTCTTGTAGTGAGCGAAAGGGTGGAAGTTTCATACCAGCCGCCATCTTGGATTACGTGGAGTAACACATAACACAGGTAACCCGCCATCATCTTTTATAGGACCTTTGGCGAATTTGAAATATTGAAGACCCTAGAAATTCTTATCAGTTTTTCAATTAAATTTAACAGAAAAATCTTTAGTTAAAGAACTAACAGAAAAGTACTTTTTATATACCATTTTTATAGGTTATGGAGAAATAATTTGATATAAAAAAAACTATTTTGGATGTAAGGGAAGATGGACAACGACAAAAACACAACACCGCAACATTCCACAACTTAGAACAATAGCGCAGTGCGCTGATTCTAAAAATAGCTTAAAGATTCGGACAAACATTGCATTCTGTTTAACCGCTACGAGGATTATACGAACCGATTTTATTATTTTTACTTAAAGTTACAATAATAACCCATGTAAACTAAGATCAACTGCGATCGGCTGTGAAAATTATCTGCTGAAAGTAAACTTGTAAGTTTGTTTGTCTGAATTTCGCCTTTGTCTTCGTTTTTATGACCTCATGGCTGCGCTGCGCTATTCATTACTCATAAAAATCTTCTAATAATAACCTTCTTGTTGAAAATTTCTCCCCCAACATGGCCGAGATTTTAAGCTTTTTATGTAAGATTATTATATATGCATTAAAAACCGCTAAAAAGTTCAAAATGTTCATAACATTTTGTCGTATTTGCGTCGTACAGATAAACTAATTGCCTCCACGTTGAAATTGTCCTCCAAAATGGCCAAGACGTCAACATTTTTTATGTATGCTTATGATATATAGATTAGAAGATCATTAAAAAGTTCAAATACCGATAACATTTCGTTTTAGTTACGTTTAAGCAGTACTTCTTTATCACTCTTGAGTCGCTGAAATTAATAAAAATATCTATGAGACTAAATATATGTATATTGCCAAGTTTTCAATTCGTCGGTTTTTGCGTTTTTTTCGGCACATATTACTTTGTAAAAGGCACTGCTGAAAGCCAATCAGATTGCAGAAATCACCAGTGATTTCAAAATGGATATAATTAAGCTAGATATATCTTTTCTACTGAAAAGTTACGCGTGTCGTGAACACGTTTGTAACTTGCGTGAATGAATGCGCGCAGCATTTGTTACTACGTCACACGCGCAATCGTTCAGGGTCTTGTTGTACGAAAAGTGGATAGCGCTATCCAACGGATAAATCATTATCCAGTAAATAAATTGATGATGTTATTCAATAGATTTATCCACTGGAAAAGATTTATTCGCCGGATAGCGCCATCCAACCTTAGCTTCGTACAACGGGCCCATAAGTACAAAAGATATCTACTTCTATGAAGTTGTGCTTAAAACAAATCAGGTAACAATTGCACCAATTGTCAAAGAAAATCATTATTTATTTTAGAAAAAGAAAAATGTTTCATTAAACTTACCGATCAAATCTTCCGTAACCACATTATCACTAGGAAAAGAAAGCAAAAAAATTGAGTAAAAAAAATTAGTAATGAACATCTCGATTCCTGTCCCAGCCAGCGTCTCATACTCTTCCCTTCTTATCCCAATTATACTATTACTGTGCGGTAACTGACCAATCAGATAACATTAAACTAGACAGAGATTGAACTGATAACAGCGTTAGCCAATCAGATTATCACGTTCTCACCCTCTTATTATATCGATGCGCTATCTGATTGGCTGGTTAAAAATATTGAACTAAATGTCGCAATATGATTGGTTGATGATACTAGTTTATCAAAGTGTTCCCGGTTGTAGTATCCGCTCAGTAATTTTCTTACTTATCTCGTAATTTCCTCTTCATCCTTTTCTTCTGCATCAGGTATGCTAACATCTACATACAGTCAATTGAAAAATATATATATATATATTAAATTATTACTAATATAGAGTGCTTTTAGTCTCACTGTTGAATAGTTAGATACATTTATCTAACTTAGATAACTATTTAGTTGACGTCACCTGAAATAGTAAAAGCGCGCCAAATAACGGTTATGCTAATCAGGGGGGTTGTTTTACCAGAGAATGAGTGAATAGACATTCATTTGTATCATCGTTTCTCCCCCTGATCTCAGTAGCTGTTTAGTTGACGTCACCTATTCAACAGTGAGACTCTACTAGAGGTGGTTCAAGGATATTCACTCGGTTTACCTCGAAAAAATCTCACGTTCCAAAAGCGCAAGTTTTTAGAAAGCTTGGTGCGTGCTTCACCGAAAAATGTTTTTTAATCTATATAAAGTTCTCGATAATGTCTCTCAGGCCTGAATTTTCGAGGCCGTAAAAGGGTGAATTGGTGCGTGGAGTACTGAACAGAAAATGGGTGGATGGAAAAATGAAAGGAAAGCCGATGAATGACCCACTTGGCATTGATTAATGATACACATTCAAATATGTATTTAGAGTATTATTGTGTATATAAAATATTCGAGATATAACGCGCGTGCTAATTGGCTGGCTACCGTGTTTATATCAGAGGACAGAGACACGATCGCGCAAAATTGTCCAAAAATATTTTATCGGCTACGCGTCGTGTTTCTAAGGTGTCTTCTCTACAGCTCCCAGCGTGTTTATATCACAGTACACGTGCGCACACGTTTTATATTCCTTAAATATAACAAGTGCTTACCAACGAATTCCAAACATTTCCAATACGGCTTGTGAGCATTAATAACATTCTTTATCGATTCCATTGCACTATGTATTTGAAAAGTTTAGAAAGTGTTTAAAATATTTTTTGAACCAAAACAAGAACGGGAGTAATTGGGTACATTAATAAACCTGGAAGTGGAAAGCAAAATCGACGTGATCTTGTATAGGGTTTGGTAGGGACAACTAACGAAATTGGAGGGGGGGGGGGGGGGGGGGGTGAACATGGCTATTTAAAAGTTAGAAGGACGATTTGTTCTTTAGATGGAAAAAACCCTACACACTTCCCCTATGGGGAGTTAAGTCTCTAGATCCTTCCCGCCATCAGTGATGGTTACTCACCTTCTTGATGGGACGAGGGAGCCACCTTCCAGCCTTGGACAAGGATCACCAAGTAGTGTAGACGTACAGCTACACATGGATTCTTCTACTGAAGTCAAGTTGTATCCACCCTTGATAAACACGGATATTGTCATCATTCAAACAACATCGACATCATCATCATCCATTAATCAATATTTTCATCATCACAATCATAGCCATCATTATCATTAATCTTCATCATCGTCATCATTAATCGTCACCATCATCATCATTAATCATCACTATCATTGTTAATCTTCATCGTAAACATCATCATTACTATCATTTTCATCACCAGTCTTCAACATCATCGTCATCATCATTACTACCATCGCAACTAACATCATCATCATCATTACCATCATCATCATCATCATCACCATCATTACCATCATCACCATCATCAATATCACCATCATCAATATCATCATCATCATTCCCCACCACTACCATCATCATCATCATCGTCATCATCATCATCATGAAATATAGAATTACCTCCAGTACGATGACCACCTTGCCTCCTGCTAAACTCATTAACAGATTAGTAAGATGACAATAGCCTTCTGGAGTGATGTCACAATGGCCCTACAAATAAACAATTAGAAGAATCAGCATCAAGAAATCGCCATGAATATCTTTTAAATCTGTCTTTGTGCTGGGGTAAGAACTCAATCAAAAGCACTGGATTCACTGGAGTCACTGAATTCGCTTGACTGATCAAGAACAATAGTTTTAAGTCGAGGTTGTAATTGATAAATAAAGTCTTGACTTCAAACCATTGTTTCGTGGTCATTGAGCGAATTCAGGAAAGGTTGATTATGCAAATTTAACGTTTTGGACTAAAAATATATGAAATAGTGTGCTCACCTTGGGATCTCCCCTGGCAGAATCAAACCCTGCTGATACTAATACAATATCTGGGTCAAACTGAGGAAAAGAATAAGAAAATATAGTAATAAGAATGTGTACAGTGTCTCGTAGTGAAGGTGGAAGTAACTATGACAATATATTGCACTGTATAGACTCCTTGCACCGAGTCCCTAGAGGAATTGTTCTGAGGGACAAAACAATGGATATTTTTCATAAGAAAAGACAGCCTATTGTTTTCCCCCATAACAATTCCTCTAGGGATTCAATAAAAATTCTATAGTTACTTGTAGTACCTCGTATGCTATTGGTAACAACACATGTTGGAACGCAGCTAAATAGTCTGCATCACCCATATGGAACTGGGGAACAAATAGAAACATAAGAATAAAATTAATAGAATGCAGTGGTGAGCAGAGCAGAGCAGAGCAGAGCAGAGCAGAGCAGAGCAGAGCAGAGCAGAGCAGAGCAGAGCAGAGCAGAGCAGAGCAGAGCAGAGCAGAGCACAGCAGAGCAGAGCAGAGCAGAGCAGAGAAAATGAGAAATGGGAAAAAAGGACGCTAAAAAACTCACACTGAGCCGACCACATGCATGTCTTGCAGCACAGTAAATGTAATGTGTTTGTACCCTATAGTGAAGTACAATAAATAACCAACATGCAATGGAACTTTTTCAAAATCATCTTGAACGTTAGGCTAACATGGAAATACAAATGAAATGCCTCAAACTCCATCAAGAAAAAGTGTGATTTCTTTTCTATTTTCATGTGAGCCTCTCATCCAAGTTAACTTTGAGAAGGGTCACTGAATTCTATTGACATGCATGTAGCAGCAAGATAATCGACCCCGTGACCGCAGTGGTGCATTAGCAACACACACCCTACCGCTCTTTCCGTACCATACAATATTATATCTTCAACCTTGTAAGATAGCACAGTGTACCTTGTTCCAGGGAACGTTGATGTTGAAGCCCTTCCCTGGGCCTTCACCAACGACATCATAGTTTGCTATCGTCGAGAAAGGGTAGAACCTGGCGTGTTGGTAGACATGGGTAGAGAAGTATAACACACTAGAGAGACCAAAAGGAATATCACTGATTTTTAAACTGTAAGCCGCACTTTTTGGAAATGATTTTGAGTAACGCTACAGGAAAATATTTAAAGTCGAACTTCGGGAAATTGACGATACGACGTCGTACGAAATGCCGAAAAAAATAACAATGTTTTCATTCCTCCTTTCCTACCTTCCTTCTCCCTCTCCCCCTCTTTCTTTCTTTCTTTCCCTTCTTTTCATTTCACCTCTTTCCCCACTTCTCATCTCGCCCGAGAGACTCAAAAAAATAAATAAATAAATAAAGCAAAACTATATAGCTTGAACAAGGGCGGATCCAGGGTTTTTTGAAGGGGGGGGGGGGTCTCAGGGGTAAATTTTGTGGGCAAAGGAATCCCAGTCGCATTTTTACCACAGGAAGCCCAATTGACCTCAGGAATGACAGGGGGGTCGCGACCGCCCCCCCCCCCGACCCTCCCCCTGGATCCGCCCCTGTTGAAGTACAAAGTAACCACTACAGTATTAAACTTGTGCAAATTTTTTATCATAAAAAGGGTCATTTGTTTTACTTAGATAACGCGGAGAGTGGTTGCCCAAATCTCCCGAGCCAAGGGCTGATGTTTAATGCGCTCGAAGGTGCGCCCTCTACCCCCTCTTACTATCAGTGCTCCTTTTTACGGGTATTTAAAGCTGATTGAAGAACAGAGAGAAGTCGAAAGAGACGTGGAGTTCCTGAGGATCGAACTTTGACCCTCTAGCTCTCAAGGCCGCGCACTAAACAACTGAGCTACGCCTGCTCCTGGGCGCACGAAGGCGCAGGGTAGTATCATATAAACATACATGATGGTACGTACCTTGGATCTGACTCAAACAGGCTCTGTGTACCGTTACCATGGTGAATGTCCCAGTCAACGATGAGAACTCTATTAAATATAACAACAATAGATGGTTTAGCGGCAATGCATAACGAATAGTTTACTTAACTCCTCATTATTAGAGTATGTGGACCGCGTGGCACTAATGAAATAGTAGAAGATAATATAGGTAAGTTGTAGTGCTTGGGAACGAGGTTATTCCGGGCGAAAGCCCTTGGAATTAAATTCGGAAAAATTAATTTCCGACCTCGCTGGGATCCCAGCGAGGTCGGAAATTAATTTTTCCGAATTTAATTCCAAGGGCTTTCGCCCGGAATAACCTCGTTCCCAAGCACTACAACTTACCTATATTATCTTCCTCATTATTATAGAAACTTATGGTAAAAAGTAATGCTACCGCGCGCGATTGGCAAATTTACGATATGGACGTTCCGTGCTTTGACCATATTACGATATTCAGCATTCTGGACATGTGAGAAATAATTGCGCTCTGATTGGTTTACTCATGTCGTACCGTAACCGTGCCAGGAGAAGTAGTTTTTCCCAGATAATGCTATGCATTCTTCTGTAAGTTAAAAAGTTAATGACTGCCGGATAATCTTACTTTTTCATTCCCCACTTTTGCTGTGCAATCTTGGCAGCAATAGCTATATTGTTAAAGTAGCAGTAACCCATAGCACTATCTGTGTCGGCATGGTGACCTGGTGGCCTGTTTGGAAGAAAAAATAATCAGATTAACTAACTAATTAATTAATTAATCAGATTAAATACTGCAATTCATATTAAGTGGTTCTCTTCAAACTAGACATGCGCAGTAAGATGCAAAGAATGCATACTACTCACCTGACTATTGCTACAGCATTTTGCACCTGCAGTAAAAATAATAATCAATACTTAAGTAAGAGAATGGAGTCACACAGTGAAAGAAACATGTTATGAAATATCAGGTCACATGATCATTCTCCGAGATATTGAATTCCAAATATGGTCATACATATAATAGCGTAAGAAAAAAGTGTTGTCAACCAATCAAAGAAATTACCACGGGCTATATTAGAAAATACAAAAACCACACCATTTCTATGCGTTGCAGTTTTTATTTAAAAAAATGACTTTTGGGAATAGTCCCCTTCACGGTTCCCTGCACCATCTTGAAAGGTAGCCGGGCCTTTGCATCAAAGCGAGATGACCAGTGATCTCGCAATGATAGAGACATGTGAATAATTGTACAAGGTGTTAAAAAAAGGTCTCTATCATTGCAAGCTCACCGTTCGTCTCGCTTCGATGCAAAGGCACGGCTACCTTTCAAGATGGCGAAGGGAACTGTGAAGGGGACTATTGGAGGGGGGAAAATTGGCGAAAAATCGCACATTTAGCTCACAACGTCGCCATGTTTGTTGATGACTGCTGGATTGCTGACTTGCCAGTGCATTAGCATTGATAGTGTTCTTATGTAAATGTTTTATGAGTTACTAGATCAAAACAAGATCCTTCTAGAACTTTAATATCTTTTTAACAAGACTGGCGAGAAAAAATGGCATTTCGCTGTCATCACGACAACATTATCAAGTCAAAAGATCGAAATATTTCTTTGAGAACAAGATTCTCTGTTTAAGTTGTATCAATATTCATGTGTCTTCCCATGCTCAACCGTTAAACAAAGAATGATACTCTTGGGAATAAGATGTGATCTGAAATATTTGTCATGCAGTAAAAATTAGAAACTAACCTTGTTGGTTGCAACATGTTCCACTGCTTCCAGGGTACACCCACAAGCTAAGAGAGCACACTCATATACATGCTATAGAGAAAAAACATATCTTGTTTGCAACTATTCATGTCAAACTGAGCAGCTAACATGGGTAAAGTGAAACAGAAGAAAATAAAAAAGAAATGAGAGCAAATGGAAAAAATCCCACTGCTATCCCTGTGGTTGTTGTGCATCATCAGCAGAAGCATTATCATCATTAACCTTATCATGTATCATTACCATCATCACCTGGTTGTCATGTATCACCATCATCACCTGGTTGTTATGTATCATAACCATCATCACCTTTGTCATGTATCATCACCATCACCTGGTTG